CTCTTCTATTATAAGCCTTATTTTTAGCTGCTCTATGTTTGCAGAGCAGACAGAAATGGCATAAATCAAAAACTGCCAGATTTGATAAGAAGGAAAATGAGAATTTCATGTACAATATAAAAAAATATGAAAAAATACAGTAAAATTGTTTAATATATCATTAAATCTACTTTGTCTTCAGCGAGAGTTGAATATTTTGTGAGATTTCTAAACTTTTCAATGTTATCCATACAGAAAGCCTCCTGAAAAATCCACACTTACTACAGATTTGAAAAATAAAACTGTTATTTGAATCATAGAATCATAGAATGGTTTGGCTTGGAAGGGACCTTAACAATCATCTAGTTAAAAATCCTTCTGCTCAGAGCCCCGTCCAACCTGGCCTTGAATACCTCCAGGGATGGGGCATCCACAACTTCTCTGAGCAACCTGCTCAAGTGCTTCATCAGCCTCACAGTCAATAATTTCTTCCTAATATCCAATCTAGACCTACTTTCAGTTTGAAGTCACTCCCCCTTGTCTTGTTGCTACATGCCCTTGTAACAAGTCTCTCTCTATCTTTCCCTTAGGCTCCTCTCATGTCACAGAAGACCACAATTAGGTCACCCTGAAGCTTTCCCTTTTCCAGGCTGAACAATCCCAGTTCTCTCAGCCTTTCCTCACAGGAGAGCTGCTCCATCCTTCTGATCAACTTAGTGACACTCCTCTGTGTCACTTGCTCCAACATGTCCCTATCCTCCTGTGCTGGGGACTCCAGAGCAGTACTAAAAGTAGGATCTCACCACAGAGGACCGGGGGCACAATCACCTCTCTCAACCTGCTGGCCACTCTTCTTTTGATGCTGCCCAGAATACAATTTGGCAATGCTATTGGATTCTACCTTCTCTGTAATAGTGTCAGATTTTCTCAGATAAATATTCCACTGCTTTACAGGCCAATGTTTCAGGTATGCATTGTGTGGCATAGTTATGATGAAATTTTCAGAATCTAAAGTTATTAATTACAAAACCTGCTTCTGAAGTGATTTGGTACTAAAGCTGCTGATTTTCAGAAGTATCTAAACAACATAGCCATGTTATGAAAATCTTTGTGGTAGCTGATCAGGACAACTAATTGCCTAATAACTGTAAAATCTAACCTTAGATATGTGCGTACTAAAAAAAAAATCCATTACCCTTTACAAGACTGATGGCCAGACCTTCCAAAATATTTCTACAGAGAACTCTAACTGAAAAATTGTTTAATTAGAGCTTAAGTATCTTTGAAGATATGAGCATTCAACAGTTTTTGAAAGATCTGATCATAAACATAAAATACTATGTGCATCCAAACTTTCTCTTAAGTGGTGTATACAAAACATATCATTATTAGTCAGTTTTGTACAGTGAGTTTTAAATTAACTAATAAAGCATATTTAATGAGAAAGGACAACAGTATGAAGTGACTGACTAAGGTTTAAAATTCCTGTCTTCTTTCTACCTTGTATATTGTTGTAACTGTTTAGAAAAACCAAAATACTTTAGCGAACTAGCATTGATGTTGACTTTTTTTCCTGCTCAGATATATGGCTCTGGGATTCTATGGACACAGTTCTAACCTTGGTAAATATTGAATGGGTTTTGCATAAATACAGTCTTTTCAAATCTTTCTCTGTTGTACTCTCATGTACTCTTATCTCAGTGCTCCATGGCATTGCTGTTTCATACATCATGTCAAGAAATGAGGTTGATCCATAATAATATTACTTCCAGAACAGAGACCCAAGTAATGACGCTGAAGACAAGTTCGCATAGCTTTTCACAATAAGGGGCTTTTGGTACAGAAAGAAGTTGCAGTTATTCCCTTCAGTGCAGTTTATTGTGGAGTATTATCAGAAGGTTATATTTCTGTATACTCTATGTTTCTGTCTTTTGCATCAGAATAGGCAACCCAAAGGTCTTAAGTAGAATATAACTTGTATAACTCAAGAGGAAATTATGAAGAAATTCCTTGTCACCAAAACTATCTCTTGAAGAAATCTGGTGGGCTTATGGTTCTCTGTAATCATGGTCAAATTTAGTTTTTAGCTATGAACCTGTCATTCTAAAAATTATTCTGGTGGTATTGTCATGTATTATTTCAATATGCCAATGTACAGAACTATAATCTATAGAGGGAAATAAATTCTCTCTCAAAACTTCTGTAAAAAGTCTGTTCATAGACTTTCAAATAATTTTTCAAAGCAAATTCTCTCCTAAAAAATTAGAGAAGGGGTATTTTTGGAACTAGTGGTAAAATGGAGGAATGTTCTTTTCTAATAAGAGATGATAGTTTAATCAATTTTTTTTTTCATCCATAAATTCCTCCACAACTTTGCAATGCTGCTTAAGTGGATGGCTCTGGAAGAAATCAAGAGATTCTTCTACACATTTTCTTTAGTACAACTAAACCAGCGTCTGCTGTATGTAGAGAATAAGATTAAAGTCTTTGAGATGTCTTAGTTTTGAAGATGCAAACAGGCCAGATCTTATCCTTCTTGCTCTTCTAACTCTTCTTTTTCCCATGCAGGCAGATTGCCATAACATCTGATGATATCTGTATGTGGTTCAATGTCAGAAATAACCACTGTTTGAACAGAAGGAATATTTGCTATGTCAACAGAATAAAATAATAATAATTAAAAAATATTTGTCCTGTTGAAAAACCTCTTCCATTTTCTTTAAGATGTTAACACTTGTTTTCAAAACCTATGGAGGAAGTTATGATGTGTAATGGACGAGAAATAGAACAGCTTTAGTCATAATATAATCAGTGTTGCACAGAATCAAACTATAACAAAATGTAAATATAATGTAAATATAATGTATGGAATGTAAATGTAAATATAAGTAGAATACACAAGCCATCTAAATTGAAATATAATTGGCTCAGCACCAATAATATGATGCAGAAAGAAAATGCCAGATGGTTGTGAAACAGGTAAATCACTGAATCTTTTTTACTATCTGTCTTTTACTTCAGTAAAATTTTCTGGGAATGAATTTGACTACACTGTATGGTTTTATAATGTTTTATATCATACCACCTCTTGGTCTTTTCTTAGTGGCAAGATTTCAGGTAAGTATCTTAGGTATTTCTCTTTTTTTATTCTCAGCTAATGCATTCTTTTAAGCACATAACAAACATGAAGAAAATGCTTTCGTTAATTTTCAGACTGCGTTTTTTACTGTTTAATGTTTCAAACAAAACTCTAGATTTAATGGAAGAATTCAAAGCACAGAATAGCTCTACTCTTGTCAAATACAATGACTGACCACAAGATGTCTTGAAACAGCAAGCTATATAAATGCTAATAAATGACCACTGCATGAATGTAGTACCAAAATGGAACACAGACATGAGCAAAAATAAAGAAATGAGACCCATCCCCCTTCTTATCCCTCTCTGAGTAAACATTCTTTTCTTCATAGAATCTCTCTATAAAGCACACAAAAAGAACAGAAACAATTATTAGCCTTTTATACAAGCTTGAAATGGCACTATACTCTCATTTTTCTTTCTTCTTCAGTAACTTTTATGACCTTTTCCCAACGTAATTTCTCAAAACACCAGTAGCTGTTCTGCAGTCTTCATTATATGTTCAGACTTTAAAGCAACCAGAGATTATAGGGCACAAACATGCTGATGTTTGCATGGTTATAATGTATTTGGACATTTTTAAGGACCTATATACATTTAAGAAACTTATGATTAAAAATGTTTGTGCTGGTCCATTTCTTTGGCAAAGAATGAATGTCTGTGTACAGTATCATCATTTCTACATTCCTGAAGAGTATGGGGCCTCTGACCCCACAGAAGAGAAAAAAAAAATAATCAAGTGACACCAAGTGAAGGAACCACTGCAGGGTGGATTTTCATTCTTAGTCTGAGGGACAATAGAGTGCCTTTTTAAAATTTAAAGCAGAAAGTGGGAAATAGGTGATGGAACTGAGGGTATAAGAAAATGGAGGACCACTGAAGAGTGAAAATAATATAGAAATAATACTGCATGTAATATAACAATATATAAATTATGCAGGCCACCAAAGTTAAGAGACTCTCCAAATCAGAAGAAATATGTAGGTAAATTTACATTTGACTATTTTTATCCTCTTGCCTCTGTGTTCATTCTGAAATACGCAAACATGTCCCTCTAAATGCAAATACAGATTAAGAATCTGAAATGATCCTGCTTTAGGGTATTTAGAGTGGTGATGTTATTTCAACTACTAAGATTCAAGAGGTTTCACTTATACTATTGGAACATTTGAGTTTGTCAGTATTGCCTAACAAGCATACTAAATTACCTCTCACAAAAATTTTTGCCAAGATGAAAAGGTGTATCTTTTAACATAAACAAAACTATCAGGAACAGAATTTTGATAGCAGTGTTAATCTTGGCATAAAATTTCAAAGCTAAATGTTACTGAAACTTTAGGGATAAAATAACAACTGAAATTGGGTCCTGACAGAAAATTTTCACTTCTTCCAAACCAGAATTTGAGAGGGAACAGCTCCAAGTCAGAATTAAAAATGTTGATTTTGAGATGCGCTTTCTTCCTAAGGGCAGTCAGAGCCACAAACTCTCTGCATTTTCACAAACAGATCCATACTTAGCTATTGGTATATGACAGATACCACTAAGACAAACAGGTGTTTCAGGAAATTGTCATTACAGTACACCAAATTCCATGTTTCAGTTTGGCAGTTATGACAAAATTAAGAACACTTGGGTATATGCTCTGCAATGTCAGAACCCCATTCAGTTACAGTGACTAGATTTGCAGATTTTCTACCATTATTAATTTTAGTTTTAATTAGAGTCTAACTAGACTCTTCTTTTTTGTTAATTTGGCTTTTTGTGTTAAAAAGCAGATTAAAATTTTTTTTTCTCCACAAAATCACAGAATTCATGAAGCTTGAAAGAACCACTGGAGGTCATCTGGTCCAACTTCCCTGCTCAAAAAGGGCCACATAGAGCAGGATGCCCAGGACCATATCCAGATGACTTTTGAAATCTCCAAGGATGAAGATTCCACAACTTGGCAACCTGTTCTGGTGACTGAAATTAGTGAGCAATTGAGCCTTGTAAATCGTGTTTGAAAGTGCTGGATGAACTCAAGGATCCAAACCTGTAAGTGCCCTAAACTTATTTTATTTTAATGTCCCACTGTATTTTATTTGTGGAGAGTTCTCATGAATGTAGATCCACTGAGGACCTGATCACATAAATAGTGTTTCTTTGTGTGCTTCCCTTTTACTAATGAAGCGTTTCAAACAACATCCTGACTCTATTATCTGAGATTTGGGTATAGAAGGAAAGCTGGAAGAGATGTTGTAGAATTGCTTCCTGTGTCTCACTTAAAGATGTCACAGTGTGTTGACCATGCACAATGCCAAACAGCATTCTCAAACCTGGTCATTAATAAGCATTCCTGAGAAAGGGAGTGCAGCTGTCTAAGAATATGTAACAGGATTGGTCTTAGTCAGGTACAGATGACACAATTTTTCCACATGAATGTGATTCATCTCTTGAATTGGTTAATTTTAGTCACTTCTGAGAGAATTTTAAATTTTCTAAATATATATTTTTTTTAATTTTATTTGTCAATTACCTTAAGAACTTTCTTAAGAAAATAATTAAAAGAAAAATAACGTTTTGACCATAGATAGATTTTAGAAATGTTGACGAGTTAATTCAGATTTATTCTATACATTCTGTATAGGAACTGTAAAAGAGAGAGATGTGTTTGCAATCAAGACTGTTTTCTACCCCGCCTAGGTTTGACCAAGGGGATTTTCAAATGATTTTTATTTTCGGTAAACACAGGAGAACAGGAGAAATGCGAGAAGGGACGGATGGTAAGTTTATTCTTGTAAAAGATAGAGAAGTGATATTTGTTGAGTGAGTACACTGTTCAGATTCACAGAGAGAGTATGCCCTCAATTTCACTGCACTCTACCAATGTTCATTCAACTGACGAAGTTTGCAGCTCAAAGGGCAGCCTACACTTTGTTCTAAGTTCCTGCTGGAATGGAAAACCTGACAGGGGGAAACTTGCACAAAGGATATTGTGCTGTTAAAGTTTGTTCAAAGTGACAGTTGTCAGATCTCTTTGAAATGAAATTGAAAAGGAAAAACCAATTTTCTCTGAGAACAAAGTTCAGCTCATTTGGTGTGCCTTACATGTCTAATTTCCTTCCCTGTAAAAGAAATTTTGACTAGGTCTATTTGAAAATGTAGTTTATACTAGTACAGGCATAACTTAGAAAGTTTAATTCTAACTAACATAATATTTACAGACAGTAGGTAAAAATGATTTTTTTCTGTTTAGAACAACATAAATGTCAAATTGTGCTAAAAGGATTAAATGTTTGTATTTTGTCTGACCAAATGTGTTTTTTAAGGCTTTGAATTAAGATAGACAACATGATTCTTAATGACTTTTTAATTCACTTTTTCAGTAATGAATAAATAGTGAGATTTCAGGAATGAGTTGAGCTCCTAGGAAACAAGTTACTTAGAAAAAATTCAAGTATCAAAAGAAGATAAGCAGTAAATTCAAATCCACTACATATTTTTAGAGATTTCCAATATATATTAATTTGATTTTTAATAAGATTGTAATAAAATATAAATACATAATATAATAAAAAGGTTTATTACTTATAAAATTCTATGACCACGGAATCACCAAATATGTTGAGTTGGAAGGCACCCACAAGGATCATCGAATCAAACTCCTGATTCTGCACAGGACCATCCCCAAGAGTCACACCATGTGGTCGAGAGTATCAACCAAACACTTCTTGAATTCTGTCAGGCTTGGTGCTGTGACCACTTACCACTTACCAGGGGAGTCTGTTCCAGTGCCCAACCAGCTTCTGGATGAAGAATCTTTTCCTAATATCCAACCTAAACCTCCCTGACACAACCTCAGGCCATTCCCTTGGGTCCTGCCACTTGTCACCACAGAGAAGAGATCAATGTCTAGCTCTCCTCTTCCCATCACGAAGAAGTTGTAGACTACAATGAGGTCTCCCCTCAGTCTCCTCTTCTCCAGGCTGAACACACTAAATGACCTCAGCCATTCCTCACATGGCTTCCCCTCAAGGTCCTTCACTATCTTTGTTGCTCTACTTTGGACTCTCTCTAATAACTTAATATCTTTCTTATATTGTGGTGCCCAAAACTGCACACAATATTCAAGGTTAGGCCACACCAGCGCAGAGCAGAGTGGGACAGTTACTGCCTGATGCCCCCCAGTACATGGTTGGCCCCCCTGAATGCCAGGGAACTGCTGACTCCTGTTCAGCTTGCTGGGGGTCAACCAGGACCCTCAAGTCCCTTTCTGTGGCACTGCTTTCCAGCATCTCATTCCCCAGTCTGTACGTACATCCAGGGTTACTCCCTCCCAGGTGCAGAATTTGGCACTTCTCGTTGTTGAATGTCATATGGTTGGTGATTGCCCAGCCCTCTAATTTCTCAAAGTCTCCCTGCAGGGCTTCCTTGCCTTCGAGGGAGTCAACAACTGCTCTGAGTTTTGTGTCATCTGCAAACTTGCTTAATATCCTTTCTAGTCCTTGGGTCCAAGTAATTTACGAAGATTTTGAAGAGCACAGGGCCTAAAACAGATGTGTATGATTATAATTATGAAATCATAAGTTGATAAAAACAACACCTACTTTATGAAAGGATTGAATATTTGGATAGAGCAGACATTTGTATGTATTGAAAAATTAATTCAAAATATACAATGTTTATGTTTCACAGTGTGTTAGAAGAGATAGCTAACTATCTAGCAGTCTGCAAGATATTTCTATTTCTCCCTGTTTTTTATTGAAAGGGGTTTATCCACTGTGGTACTTGTAAACACATAATGTACAAATGTAAAAATGGCATATTTGATCTCAGGACTAGATTCTTGAAATATATTTATTACCTACTTTAAGAGCAACATGTCTCTGTGACTCTATATGTATCAAAACCCTTCTGTATAAGTAGAATGCCTATACTCAAGAAAGACCGTCTCAATCCATATATCCATTGAGAGCATTTTTAGAAAGGGCAGTGACTCAACTGGTTTGGAAAAATCAGGTTGGCTATGCTAGTAAATACTCCTTATCAATTATAACCAGGTTAATAACCTATTTTATCACAGCTGTATAGTAACCTGGGTCAGTTTTCCAGTTTAACATTATCCTTCAATGCTATGCTGAGTCAGTCTGCTCTGAGCTGTTTCAGTCAATACCTGATCAGTGTGATCAGCTACTGGATCTAGGGAGTTGTCCACACTACAGCTTAAAAAGTAATTAATAATGCTTTGATGCATGAAATCTAATTATCTAACTGAAATTAAATTTGTTGTGGCAGGACTAATTTTGCAAGATTTGAGCTGTGGAGAGATGATACTCAAAAGAATCATGGAATGGTGTCTGTGAGAAGCTTACTTTTCTGTCTCAACACAGTTTGTATGCAGATAATTGTATAGTACCTGTATCTAGATAAGGCCTTGATTCAGATGCATTTTGACTCTGTTTAAGTATCTGTTGCTTTGCCTAAAATCAAACACAAGTGTTAACTCAGAGTAACATTTGGGAAAACACTTGAAATTGGACTTCCCCCCTTTTTTTTTTAAAGTACATAACAGATAATGAGAGCAAACAATCTTTAAAGCTTTATTCTTTATTGTTTAAAAAGATAAGCAGACGTGGTAAGTCCAGATAAAAGAAATATATATTGGAATGTTCATGATATGTGTAACACAGATATTGATAGCAGAGCCACAGAAATGACGAAACAATATTATCATCTGGGTGAAATAGTTGAACTCAGGTGAAAAGCTGCATTCAGAAACAGTGGTTATTTAGAAGTAGAAATAGGCATCATTGGCTTACTATCACTTTTCAAAACAGTACTTTTTCCTTCAACCCTGAAAAACTATCTGCAGAATAATTGTCTTTTGTTCTGTTTTCTGATAATGATAATGGTGTGGCATCATTAGAAGTGAAAACTCTTCCCATTGAAGAGTGATAACACATCCTGGAAGGTTAACAGAACACACATATGCATTCCAAGTCTTAGGATGTTGGTTCCACCTGCATCTGAGAAAGGAATGTGCTGAGTCATGCACATCAATGGACAAACACATTTAATTTTTATTGAAGGTACACTTTATTTTGGTAAAATGCTGCTGAGAGCTGAGAATTTTCTCTTTTTTTTTCCCTAGTCTGTCCTGAAGCTAAGCATATTAACAGCCTGGTTTGCTGCCAGAAGCAGAAAGTGACGTTTGGCTCAACCTCTTTCCAATGGGTGAATCACTGCCAGTTCACATCATGTTTTGCATTGCTGCAAAAACATCAACAGACTGGCATAACAGAAGTCGATTAAGCTTCTGTTTAGTTTGCAGATTGGCAAACAGATGAGTATCACTGGTATTTCAATTATTGGTGAGCCACTGGTCTCTTCTGGGTATGAAAGAAACTGAAATACGTTCAGTCCTGGAAACCTCAACAGTATTATAACATTTGTTCTGAATTGCTCCTTCTGTGACAGAATTTCTGATGAAAATGGAGTTCAGAAAATATCAACATACTATGATTGTGTTACTGTAACATGTCAGGTAGTCATAAGGCTGGAAAAAATTAAGCCATTTCAATCACAGAATTTTCTCCTTGTTAGAAACTGTGTATTTTTAGAGAGGAGAGATATGTGTACATTTATAATGGAGCACTTTGAAAAGATGCATTTTTGAGGTTAATTTTGTGCAATTAAATTTCAGGTAAAGATGTGGTTTAAACCTGAGTTTGCCTGGATGAATTTGATACCCTGACAGTAAAAGAAAAAGAAAGTAAGCCAGCACAATTTCTTGCTTCATCTGTAAATCTTATTTGAGGTTCATGTTTGTGGGGAAAGAAAAAGTCAATCCAATGTTACAGGTAAAGCATTCTTTGGTATGATAGGCTTACATGGTTATGTCTACCTGGTTTCAATCGACAGAAATAGCTGGTGCATTTCTCCATTCATGTTTAATATTGCAAAAAATAATTTGTTTAAGCAGTAGGTCAGCTAATAGGTAATCTCCTTGTCAAAGAAGGGATGATACAGGGCTGTGATGTGGTGAAACTGAAGGTGGTATTCCTCAGAAGAAAGGAGGGGAATAACCTATGGAGGTAAGGACTGAGTGTGAACATACCTGTGGCACTTCAGGGTGTTACACAAACTGCTGATTTGACAACAGGCTGAAAAAGAGCAGCTATGTTTGCTTTTATAGATGATAATGTCAACAAGGTTCAAAAGAGGGTGGGGATGAAATGAAACTGTTCTTTGACATATATGTACTTGATAAATACAAAAAGAAGTGTCTTGTATTTTCATTAGATATTGAATTTCATGAAGTACCAACAGAATAGGTTTACTTGGGCTTCTTTTGGGTAGGGGGTTTATATTTTTCAGCCTTCACAAAATAGTCATTTACAAAACAGTCTTTTATCACCCTTAGCACTGAATGGTATCACCAAATGGCATAAATTAAGTTTTCTGTATGCTCAGCACATTAATATTTTACATTCAAATTTAACATGCTTTTCTTTTTTCATTTTTTACTCAAGATTAACAACCTGCCTGAGTTTATTTTATTGCATGCTATTTCAGTTTTCTGTAAGCTTCTCTCCTAGGTTTAAAACCTAAGATCTTTTCTGCAATGTTTTCTTAATTGGAAGGGTTTAGTTCATTTTCCATCAGAAAATTTGTCTTTAAGCATCAGATTAGCCATTAAGCATGACATGTTTCAAAGAATTATAAGTATTAGTTAATGAATTTGCTCAACTATATAAGCAATATTTTTTCCTGAAGACTTTAGAATTACTGAGGAGCTATTAAAAGGGGCTGGGGGAGCAAACACTCCAGTCTTTTCACACGAAATATTGCACAATGGTCTCTTTAGTAAACTTTTACTTTTACTATTGAAATAATAGAACAAATACTAAACCATGAAGACCTAATAAAAAAACAGAGGAAATTTTTTCATTGATTTATGTTGAGTTTACAGTAGCTTGTCTATGCTAGTATACCTATCTAGGAGAAGAAACAAAAAAAGCAAGTAAAATGGACTCATGGAAAGATCTTGTCAGTCACTCAGCATTTTAAATTGAATAAAAGAGAGAGTATATGACAGAAAGCAGTTTCAGATAGTTAAGTGAAGATCTAGACACATATCTGGATTTGTGATACCAATTTTCTCTCATTTTTTATGTAAAATATTACAAAGAACATTATAACGGGTAAAAAGTGAACATGTAGAAAAAAATCACTATTAAATTGCAAGGCTACATTTATTGGGATACAGTAGATAGTTAAATTAGGCCTTTCTTTAATGGATTTAATGGATTAATGATGTTGAAGAGGAAATACATGAACTAATTACATCATAACCTGATGATAAATTGAGGACAGAGAAACATAGTGAAATGAGAGTCAGAGGTTTTTTTAGAGAAACCAAAATAGTTAGTACAGAGTAAATATGCATGCTCAGTATGAAGCACTGGGGAAAAAAACCTTGAAAATTTACAAAAGCATGATAGTTTCAGTTTAGGCCTTCCCGGAGGCCAGCTTGTAACCAGGGAAGTACCCTGTGTTCCCAGTATTCCATACGATTTTTTACAGAAGCCAGGGTATAAATAAGAAGGAGAGATGAGGATCTATCTTCTTCTCTTCCGATGGACTTGAAGAAAGCAGCTCGCGGTGGCTCCTGCAGCTGTGGGGGGTGTTGGGTCTGTGGTTGGTCGAAAGGCCACTGCCTTCTTTCTGAGTTCAGAGGGAGATGTGGTGATTGTGGAGTGGACCGAGACATTTCTGTTCTCTCAAGGAAAGTATTGAGATTTCGTTTGTTAATCCGTTATTAGTTGGGTATATCTGGGAGTTTTTTCTGGTTTTGGGTGTTGGGGGTTTCTTTCTTATGCGTATATAGTCTTTGTAATTGTGTATAAATGTAATATAAGTGTAAATATATTTATATATTGCTTTAGTTCTCTTATTTTGGTTCTCTTAGTATTTTTTTCCTCTTTTCCCTGGGTTTTTTGGGGGGAAGCTTCTGCTGTGGTGCTGGGGACTTGGCAAGGAGCCAGCTCCAAACCACCACAGCATGTAACAGAAATAAGTTTATAGTAAAACTACTCAAAGAAGCAGATTTAGTCACATGTATACAAAGGGCAGGTGATTAGTAGGATCAGATCCTTGAACTGTATCCTGTCACATAAAAATCGATGACATTAAGACCTCTTGACTTCAGTGGCAAAAGAACAGTCACATAAAATAATGTTCATAAGAAATGTGTATTTTTGACTTGGATAGGAGGTGCTGTGATATAGAAAGAATGCAATACAGTTGGTTTTCTTTACATCTCAATCTGGGTGTATACAACTGCAGAAATAATGATTGTACTTAGGAAAGGAAAACTAGGAAATAAATTATTTTTGTAGCCTTCTCCCATATGAATGTGAAGCAGAAGATCTGATTTTGAGTCACAGTTTTCAAAAGTTACTTCTAGACCCTGGGATATTGAGCTTTAGCAGCACATTTAGCCATTACTGGCATCAGAATTACAAATCTGAACACATTTTTATTGTTACATTTTCTTTCCTAAGACAAAGTTAAAGAATTGGATTTTTTCTGACACTTGTAATAGTTTTACAAAGTAAGAGTGAGGTACATTCCAAAAACACTATAAAATAAAAATTGCTTGGTTTATTTTGTAGTAGTATACACATGAAACAGTGTTCTTCCCATTGCTGACAGTGACTTTTATGTGATCTTGGTCAACGTCCATTCTTAATCTGAGTGGGCTGAAACAGACTCTTACCCATCTATTGTTCTAATTAATTTCTGTGTAAAATAAAGTTAATACTAATCTCAAAGTGCTGGTACAGATGTTTGAATTAATTTTTACAACATATCTTGTTTCTGACTCCGGTAAAATGAAGAGTTCTTTACTTTTCATCAACAAACGTTGTTCTTTGTAAACTATATAGGAAAGGGAGAGTTTAGGGCAAATGGATGGACAATTGAAAGCATATTATGGAAAAATACCAAATCATGGAGTTGTTACTTTGAAATCACAAAAAAGCTTCCCAAAGGCTTTAATTTCTGAAGAAGTTTTAGGATTGTCTTTGATGTGATTGATTTTGCTCAAAGTTCTTCTAGCAGATGACAAATGTTGTCATTATTCTTGAAAGAATAAGAGTCTGTTGATGATGAATTTTGTATCAGACTAGATTCTAAATGGTTTACTTATAAAATCAGACAAAAGACAAAGTGATACAATAGTTGCTACTATGAAGATTAAAAGTGAAATTTTAGAATGCATAAATCTTGGCAGAAATGAGGTGTTGCCTAAATGCCAATGAAAATAAACTGCACCTTAAGATCTTCACTCCATCTCCTATTTAAGTATTCTAATGTGCACTAAAAATCAGAGATTTTTAAAATTTGCTTTGAATTCAGGAGCACATTATATCTCTCTCCTTGATGTATTGATTCAGTCATAATGTACAGACTCCTGAAGTGAAGAGTGCTGACAGTTCTAAACAGCTGTGATACCCGCCCACCCGCAATTTCTAAAAACAAAAAACCCCCTCACAACCCAACAAATCCCCAGCATATTTTTGAAATTCTTTTTTGATGCCATATTTTTAAAACATAAAAATTTATTCAGCCAAATCAGTTCAGAGTCACTTTATTGTCTGATAATTCTTCTCTTTAGTGGCACCGCATATTTACAATATACAATCCCAGCATTATTTATACCTTGATGGATTTACGTCATCCTCAGTGGATTTACACCATCATATGCTTTCTGCTAGTTGTTTTCCCATTACTGCAGGTCAGATTCAGCTACCCTATAAAGCCAACAGACTTCTTTACCCAAATCCCTATCCATAAAGTCTGGCACCATTGAATAGGTTTGTCAGATATTCTTACAGATCAGCAATGAGTTTGAAATTAGAATTAAAGTGGTTTACCAGGGAAATAAAGGACATTGACTCAGCTTAAAAATAAGAAAAGATAATAGTAAATGATTAATGAACGATAGGAAAAGAAGGTCAAAACATCAGAAGTGATCCTTGCAGTGATGTAGGTTCATGGCCACTTTTGCACTCTAGAAGGCTATTTCATAGTTCTTATTCTTTAGGTAAATAGAAAGTTTCTTCCAAATCATAGACTACATTACTTCATGTTGTGTTTATGAATATATATAGTTATGTAAGTGTTGTCTATTAACTTAAATAGCCCTTTACCTTTCCGGTGTTGGACAGGGAGCTGTAAAGCTAACACTCAACATATTTTTTTCCCTTGAGGTATAATACAGTGTGGAAATGAAAACTTTTAATAGAAAGCGTGTTAGTTCATACTCAAGGTACAAAATGTGCAGTTTTTGAACCAGAAGTCAAACAACAGTTACTGAGAGACAGCACATGCACTCTGGGGACCTAAATGCATAATTTCTTTAATAATTGTATGGCAGTAAGATACATAAGATAGGTCACAGGCCAAATATATAAACAACGTAAAACTCTTATTTTACTCAGAAATAGCCTCTCTTAATATATTTGTACATTACAGTTGTAATAAGAGACTGTAATATGTTAGCTACTTCTTTCAAAGCAGTGCTCTGGATTTGAAGCCAGCTAAACTCTGTATATTGTGCTTGGAGAGACAACTGGAAGTGAGAGAACTCACGGAATGAGACAAGGACAGTTTAATAGGTAAAGAAAAAGCAGTGCTAACACATACACACAAAAAAAACAAACCAAGAAATCCATTCACTAATTCAGGCTTCATCACGCATAATGATTACTTAGGAAGAAAAACACCATAGCTCTGAGCATTCTTCCTTTCTTTCTTTCCCATGGCTTTTATTGCTGAGCACAATCTCATATGGTCTGGGACATCCCTCTGGACAGTTAGGGTCAGCTGTCCTGTCTGTGTCCCCTTTCATCTCCCAGCCTGCTCAGCGGTGGGGCAGTATGAGAAATAGAAAAGGCCTTGACCTTGTGCAAGTACTGTTCAGCAACAGATAACACACCAGTGTCTTATCAACGCCATATTCATCAGAAATCCAAATCACATCATCATACCAGCTACTGTGAAGAAAATTAACTGTATCCCAGCCCAAACCAGTACATCGAGTTAGCATTTTGAGAACCTCTGTATGATTTAAAACAAATGAAATTTAAAAATACTCAAACCAGCTACTATTACTACCACTAAACCCCTAATGATTGTTTTTCAGAAGGGTTGTTTTTAAAATGCTGCTGTAAACATCTCATGAAGTACTCCACTTTCCTGTTACAATAAATAAAACTAGAGTTAAAAAAAAAGATGGATAGAAGAGATAATGGCTTCATCAAGAATCATTAAAAAGTTAAACATCACTGTCCTGCTTTTGGTGGGGTAGAGTTAATTTTCTTCACAGTGACTAGTATGGGTCCATGTTTAGGATTTGCGCTGAACACAGTGATAATAATGAGAAGTGATAATAATACTGAGATCCTTTTGTTATTGCTGAGCAGTAGGAAGATGGGAGGAGACACAACCAGGAGAGCTGACCCCAACTGACCAAAGGAACATTCCACACCATATGACATCATGCTCAGCATATCAGACTGGGGAGAAAAAGTGGGAGAAGTTTGGAGTGACGACGTTTGTCTTCGTAAGTAACCTTTACGTGTGGGGCTCTGCTCTCCTGGAGATGACTGAGCACCTGATGGCCCATGGAAAGCAATGAATTAACTCTCTGTTTTGCCTTGCTTGCAATGGTGGTTTTTGCTTTATCTATTAGACTGTCGTTATCTCAAAGTTTTCTAGATTTTACACTTCTTATTCTCTCTGATTCCACTGTTGGGGGAGTGAGTGAGCGGCTGCATGGTGCTTGGTTGCTAACTTGTGTTAAGGTACAACAATCACAAACTAGAGTTACTAACACAATATACTTTCATGGCACCGAAGTAGACAATTAAGTACTGGAAAACAGAAGAAATCCCTGTGAAGAAATAAAAACTGAAGTGCTTGATTTCCCACATATTTAAGACAAAACTATTCCTGTCATTTACTCAGGCATTAAAAAAAAATGTTTAGAAAAACTCTCACATGTTAAAGCAAACTTTTATTGTGTCTTAATGAATGACAAAGAATGAAATGTTACCATTCCTTACCCCTCTATTAAGTCTATACTTAGAAACTTTTCCCATTGCTATCATCTTTTATCATTTACATTGAGGAAGTTGGCAAGAGCTATCAAAAATCAAGTAGTGTAACTTGAATGCCAACTTCATAAAGTAATCAGGGTCTAGTGGGATATATAATAAAATATGCCAGACTGTGTCATTATAATGCAATTTTGAAAGAATTATACATATTCATTCTTCTCATTTAGCAGCTGAATCACAACAAGCAGGTGAGAACATCTATACGATACATCAAGTAAGACAGCTGCCATTATGAACAAAACATAAAAGAGTGTGACAGAGTTGAGAAATGGAAGGAATGCTCTGTTCATACCTTGCAGGCATTGTTATTCCTTGATAGAGAAATGAAGCTTGCTGGGGAGAAGGGTATGTCTTGTTGTCATTGTAGGTAACATTTCTGTGACAAATTGCAAGATGTATTTCTTAATAAAATTCCCAGTAAGTTATTTAAAGGTATTCTTAGTGCAAGGAAACTGCCAAGTTCTTCTCATCTCTTTTGTTACATACCCAATTTTTTATTTTTCTTTCTCTAAAATGAAGGCTAGACTCATCACTAATGAACTCCAAAAACATGACTTCCTGTTGCAATAATGAAAAATATAATTATACCATGACATTACTAAGTGACAAAATAATCAACTCCCTTTCCCATTTCTACAATGTGTTTTTGGATTGCAAAATGTTTCTTTATGTCTGTAAAACAAATAAGCAAAAAGCCCTTTCTGAACTCTGACTTTCCCTTTCTTCTTCAAAGTTTCACAATGCAATACTGACAAGTTGCTGTCTCTTGTCCTTCAAACTACAATCATTCTCCGACAAATTATATCCAAACAGATTACAAAACAGATATGCTTTTTAGGAATTAAGACTTGATGCTTTGTAACAAGATTATATTAAAATGAGAAACGTACGCAAAGGTATGTCAAATATTCTAGAAAAAGCAAACACATTTTTTAATCTGGGCCATATTTTCAATAGCAGATATTCTGGAATAAAGAAGTACTTACATGGTCAAAATGACAAGGACAGCATCTAGACCTCTGCTGGCTTTTCTTTCTGCACTATCACATTAGTTAAATCGTAAAATTAGCTAAGAAGTTAAGTTGTAAAATTTTGTTTGGGATTATTCATATTTCTTCAAGAGGAGAACAACATTAGATGTTGTTGTCCATCTGAAACATGGATAAATCTTGAATAATCTACAAAATCTGATTCGACACAAAAATATGTATTATTAACATTTGGATGATGAATTATAATCAGTGATCACTGAAACTTATTTTAATCTTTTTTTCTTCCAATATTAAAAATAAGTTGGTGTATGTTTATACACAAACCTACCTATTAGCTTTCAACACCATTACTAAAGCAGAAGTTTAAGCGACTGTGAAAGACTGTGAAAAGGCTTTCATGGACATTTAGTGGTAAGAGGTATAAAAACTAAAATACCTTTTAATTTGGCATAAAACACCATTAACAGCATCTTTTCAAAACAGAAGAGTGCAGTGGGATACATCCTTCAGCAGCGTTTACAACACATAGGTTTTCTGAAAACTAAGGTCTGAAAATAAATATGAATTTAAGATCTTACTCTATGTTCTTGATATTATCACCTAAGATTTCCCTCTTCAGTAAAAGTCAATTTTTTTCTGTCTTGATCTATAATTAATTTTCTTTGGATGGAAACATTCGCGTTTCTTTCCATCTTGTTTCTTATCTTCCCGAATCATAAGTGCAGATCAGTACAACTTGCCCGTTATGTTTGTTGTGTCTTAAATTTTGCATTCTTTACATTAATGACAGACAATCTTAAGCATCAAATCCGATTGCATACTGACCATATTTGGTCTTTAGGATTAAGTGGCAATTATAAGATCTACAAACAACAGATGGGTAGAAGAATTTGAATTCTTTTGCCAAACCAGATATGTGCTGAGAATTTTGGCAAGCCTATGAACTGTTTGAATGGATAATGAAAATACTGGGCAAGGGATAAATGAAACAAAATACTGTGAGATAAAACAACCTACTCAGTATGTGTTTCTGTCGTGAAGAAAAACAAAACAAAAGCAGTATTGAAAGTAATTGCATAAAATATAGGGTCCTGAAAGGACTCAATATTTCAGGGCATTGTGGTAAAATTTCCAGATGCTAAGGCAGGGGAGTGTAAAACTTATCATAGATTCATAGAATCATTTAGGTTGAAAAAGATCCTTATGGTTAACTCATACAGTAAACCTAACACTACCAAGTCCACCATTAATACCTACATAGAAAATGACTGACATATATGTGTCCCACTTAACTGTTACTACATAATAGTGCACATGAACACGTAATGGAAGTCTGTGGGTAGCTCAAGTTCAAAACTGTCTTTGAAAGAAAAATAGTGTGTTTCTGTTTATGCATGACAGACACAAAATTAAATCACCTTGATTTTCTGAAACAGTCAAGAATGTATCGGTTACTGACGATTCATTTCTATATTTCTTTTATATGCTTATAGCATTTAGTAGATAGAAATATTCCTAATTTAGTATATTTTATTCCTTTTTCCTGCCACTGATTTTTAAGTGTGCTCTCAGTTGTTCTCCAGTATCTATCAAATACTTTGTCTTTATATAGCAGTTATAGACTTTGTTAGATCAATTTTAGTTAGTCCCAACATTTTTCCTTCTTTTGACATCAAATTTTCTTCTTTATTTCTACAGTTTTCAGTTAAAAATACACATGGTTACTGAAAAGAATAATTCCTAATATGCAGGGCTGTAGCATAAGGATAAACAACAGTTAATTAGGACACAGTCATTTAGATGATCCTTTTATCACTCTTTCAGCATGAACAGTAATGAATTAGTTACAAACATTAAAATTATAAAATGACAGCTGATATGTTAATGGAATTTTTCAAGTGTTTGCATGCATGAGTTACACATTTATTTTCACTGTGTTTATGTTTTCTATGGCTCTTTGATTTGGTAGAATAATTTAGTTTGTAAATAAAACCTTAATTTTTAGTGTTATTTTGGAATTATGGCAGTTCTATCCACTTGGTACTTCATAAGTCTCAAAGTAAGGATCTGTGGAATATATTTAAATCTCTGTCTGCCCTTTTGACATTTTGATTGCACTAATGCAAAGTCAATATGTCTCATCATAGAAACTATCTGATAGTTTTCTCAAATCAGTAATTTATCACATACACTCTACCTATTCAGATTAGTACACTTATTGTATGCATTATTGTATACATATGCATGTATACATTTTTGTAGGTGTTGGCAATTTGTGGAATATTTCTGTAAACTCATTACTGGGAACACTGTACACATGTCAGTCAAATGCTACACTCCTCAAATCAGCCTCTGGATTGCATGAAAATTTTAAGACTAAAGACTTCACAGTTAAAGTTTAGTAATTCTGCACTTCAAGAATGACCACTGTTAAGTATTTTCAGTGCATATCAGGTGTGTAGATTTAAAGGAGAAAATATAGCTGCTTATTATAACATTTGTATCTACAACTTACTATTATATTTTCTATTATAGTAAGAGTCTCTGGATTAATTTGAAGAACTGGAATGAATCAGGACAGTATGTCTTTTCAGTCCTTGACATAACAGCAGGTAAAAATAAAGGACTCCAAAAGTTCCCATTTGGCAGGAAGCATATGAGCAAATATTCTGGATATATTTTTACAATGGTTCAATTATTTATTATAATAATTTATTTCCTCTTCTGATTTCCATATATTGTATCACCTTGGACTTATCTCATTCTGCAGCTGGAGAAGACAGGAAGGCCAAGAGTTCGCTTGAAAGGAAACCAGAAGAAAACTGAAACCTGATCTATGGTCTCCTTATCCCCTGCTAGAATATATGGCCACCACAGCTGAACTGGTCATCTTGGCATCTTCCCAAACAAGTTAGAGACTTATGAACTAAATGTCTCTGTACTTAAACCCTTTAAGGACTTTTATCGCTAGAGGTGTTCGGACCTTGTTTTTATGGGCAAGGAACTGAAGAGCATCAACAACCATTTTCACGCAAAGATATGGCCTCCATTAAAGAACTCTGGCTGCTGGTAAATATATTCCAAAGGGAATTACTGGCTATAAACCTAATGCAAGAAAGACAAAAGTTAATAATGAAACAAAGTAACAAAATAAAATAAAGCTGAAATTAGTTTCAGACCATGATTGAAGATATCTACATGAATAAGATAAATTAAACAGTTGGTATGGACCTATTCATGTCATATATTGTAGTAAATATGTATTCTGAATGGCTCTTGTGCCTCTAAACTGTTTTCTGGACTGATTATCCAATTCTGTCACAAAAAATAATAGATTGGCTTCTCTTTTATTAGGCAGATCTATCTTTTCTAGATTAAATGGAATTGTACGTGTTGAACACTAGTGCAGAACTCACAGTATCTTCTGGGGCCAAAGATTGCATTTCGAAAAAAGAAAAATACACTTTCATTAGAAAAGGACAAGATTCCTTCAAGAAAGTATGAACAAAAGAATGTCTCAGTCAATGTCCTGTATAACTAGAAAAATCATGCATTTTTTCCTTTGTTCAGCCACGTACTTGGTCAGAATCCTATTGGAAATATCTATGGTAATTTATTTCTCTTCACCAAACTAGTCATAATCGCATCAGTGCAGAAAACGGCGATTTGTGGTATTGAGTTGAAAACAACAATTTAACACCTACCCGTAAGTTGCTGTCAGGGAGCTAAAGAAGTCAGGAACATCAGGAACATTATATTTTTAACAAGTTGAGAAGTTTATTTTGCTGAGAAGCAGCTCATGCCTTCCAAGACTATAATAAAAAATTTGACTGACTTCAGTATTTCTCTTCTTTTCCTTATTGAGCCTATAGTTGTTTTAAGGGAAAAGAGTATCTTACACTAGTTCTGACTGATCAACTCATCAATTTCAGATATACCATATTCTGAAATGGAGAATAAAATAATGTAAAGATCTGAATCACCTTGGAGATAGATCATATCACTGTAAAACAAATAATTTACATTTAAATAACTTATCTCCTTTTCACCTAATTTAAAAGTAATCTTTACTCTTTCTCAACTAATCCCCAAATTTATGAGCTAGTTTGATCATATTTGTGCAATAAAATTGAAAATTTTAGATAGAGCAGGTAATCAGTTTCAGTCTCCTCATCTGTGTTTCCAATCTCATTACAGATTGCAATTTTCAGTGCAGATTACATGATGACCCATCAGTGGCTTTGTTGTTTCTGAATTACTGATTCCTCGCCTATTGCCAGATAAGAACAAAGACTATGCATCAGTCTGACAGCTTGCAAACAGAAAATGGGCTTGTAGGATTGGATTTAAATCCCAGGTGTAGGGGATAATTACCACATCAGTCATGCAGTAACTGAAAAATGGTATTTCAACAAGAAAAATAGCATTCCTTTTATAGTGCCAACAGAAATAATTTTTTGAGGCTTCACACTGATTCAGTGCATCATTACATATGCACTGTACTCATTAAATGTAATGTTTGTTACAACCTTAAAAATTTATTTTTTCAGATACTTTTGTGGCTGAGTTAGCTCAAATCAAGATTTGTGAAACCTTGACAATGCTGAGGTCATTCAAAGGTATAATATACATTATACAAGTGAAACAACAGCAGAGCTAAAAACATCCAAAACCTCTTCTGCTTCAGGGAAAAAGAGAAGACTAAAGTAGAAAAGAATAAATCTTACTTTGGAAAATCCTCTGGGGTTAGACCCTTTGATGCAGGACTTTTCATTAAACTAAATTGAATGGTAATAAGATGCTATCATCATTTGTGTGGGTTTCTCTATTCTATACTTTTCAGTAAACAGGATACTGTTATCAACAATTTTATAGACCAACAAATTAAAAGCATGATAAAAATAAATCATAAACAAACTAATTCTTTAATTTCACATTATCAGAACAGAGATTTACTGTATAATTTATTTTATAGCTAAACTATGATCAATTTTACTTTATTATTTAACAGACAGTGAAGCAGTAAGCAGATTTAACAGAGTACTCTATGGGTCTAGAGAATTAGCAACTGGGAAGACACTTGTTAGTTATCTCAAATGGAAATACTTTCCCTTGAATTCCATATCAACAGTGAATGTCTGAGTTGTGCCAGATGGACCATCCGTGCTCTGGACTTCCCAGGGATATCTTTGGCAATACCCAGCTAAGGTTTATAAATGTCTTCTGCACTATTTTTCTAAGCTTATAAAGTGAGAGTTTTAAGTGTCTTGTAAGAACCACTCCTGGCTTTAGGAAGGAACAGGAATACTTGGATTATTTAAAGAAACATAAATGGATGGCTCAGTCAGTGCCATGTCTAGGTAAAAGGGTCATCTCAATGACAGAAAACATGAACATGCCATCCACAGAGCTTTTCATGTAGTTTGCCAGGTCTTGGTTTGTCTTTGGCACTCTCACAATTATGTTGGATACACACGTAACTACTGGACAAGCTATGAACAAAGGCAACAGTTTACAAACCACCACCAGCATTTTAGACACCATTATTAGGTTTATAGACAATTAGCCTGACTCCAACTTCTCTTTTTCTCTGCTAGAGAAAGAAGTTATTTCCTTTCATCCACCTAAAATTAATCTTCCTCATTGATTTGGACTTTTCAAACACAGGGAACGAGGAACCCTGGACCTACAGAATATTTCAGGGCTCAATACTTCCACCTTGAATGAGTTCCATGCAAACGATTACGGTCTCCCCAGGGTACTCTTTGTATTCAGCACTGATATTCTCATAGACGGCCTGTGCTAAACTGTCTCCAAAACTGCCTTCTACATAGGTTCAGGAAAAACACAGAAGTGCTGGAAAAAGCAATTGGGAAAGCTGGGAAGCACTGGCAAAGCTACTACACCCAGGAAAAATTTAGGATGCTTTTTCCAGTGTATTATATTCTTTAAGAGATAGGTCCATAAAGTTTTGCTCAAGGGTCTGTTTTTGTGGAAATTTGAACAAATTAAGAAGTTTCTTTTTTGCCTGGTACTGGTAATTGAGCATTGCTCATCATACCATTTAATCCTGTTTTGTGGGGAGAGGGAAGAGCTATGTCAGACATATTGATACCTCAATCTTTAAAGAGGATATAAGATTGTAAGAGAAATAAATAAGAGACTGTTTCAACATCAATTAATTCATTGTCCTGAATAAATACAACAAGGATTTGCAAGTAAGAATGCTGCCACAGAGTTCAACAGGAAGAACATAAGGTGAATGTTATTAATTTCCAAATTATTATTTATATTCGTAGCTTGCTGTAGTTTGCACTGTCTTCAGAGGAGAACTCTAACAGTCACATCTAAAGAAAATTAGTTACACATTTTGTAATAGTTTCAAAGAGTACTGGGAGAACTAGAAATGGCAGTGCTGCGATCCTTGGAATAGTAATGTATAGTTACTTGCAGATCAGGTGATAGCATTAATGCATCAATATCTTACTAAGAAAAGTGAATGCAACTAGAAATTAACATTTTGTTCTGCTCTGGAAATGCCAACTGCTGTAATGCCAGGGAGAATGGAACTTAAACGCATGAGTGCTATCGTGACTTACATGTAATAGATAAATTGCAGAGTCAATAAAAAGCAGATTTAGGGGTTATAGAATATTTTTCAATTGTAGAGTATTTCAGAGACAAATGTATTCTATACCTATCTTTTTTAGTTTTCATGGAGTTTTTTTACCTCAAGTATCTTAGTTATTTTGAGTTCTCTTTGTTCTACATGAAGTATATTTTTAAAATTTAGCATTAAAAAGACAGTCATGTCCTTGTTGAAATCTTCAGTTATTTGAACTGTGCAACTACTGCATCAATCTTCATGTATATGTTCTGAAGCACTGGCTATTATGGAGGGTAGCATTAACACTATATGATTATAATATGTCTTGCAAATCTATCTTGCAAATATTCAATGACATGAATATTACATCTCTGGTATAAGAATGACAAAGATTTACATTTTTATTTCTTCCTAAGATTATTTTTTTTCTTTCATTCTTTTGTTTGTATCCTAAGACACAAATTATCAGACAGTCAGTTAACTTGAACACAACAAATATAAGGACAGCAAACAGGTAAATGGGCATGCAAAACACTAATTTACACTTGCAAAACAGGTAATTTCACACACTGGTGGTAGCCTGCACATACAATTATTCAGTTGTTCATGCATATGCATGGATTCAGCACAATTACCTTTTTACATAAGTGCATATATTTCACAGGCACAGTTTAGTCACTGATATTTAGTCATCATGATTTATGTGCATGTTTAAATCCTGCTGTGTTCATTCAGAATAGAATATAGGTTCATGATCCCTTTGCATAAGGCAGCTCTATCATATCAGTAAATTCTGGTCTGCCGAGAAATACAGCTTGAACAAACATCAAGGTTCAGAGCATTCCATACCACTCAATCTCTTTCTTTTCAGTAGCAAATCTCATTTTCACAGAACATGCATCTCCCTCTTCTTCACACATTTGACTTTCAGTATTTTCAAAGAAAATATATGACACAAAACCACAAGATGTGATGGGGTAACAAATAAAACGTTTAAAACATGTCATAATGTGATTTTCACTCTATGGCATTTTTAAAATAAGACCAAGTCTGTTTATATCCAAATGTTTGCATCAAGTCTTATTAAAAAAAAAAACACAGCAAAAGGACCTCTAATTCTCTTTCTTGTTTTATGAGTCCACAAAAAATTGATTTTAAAAATTTGTGTTCCTGAGACTTCTTTTTTTCCCAGACTGAACTAGGCCCAGAAGACCAATTGAAAGAAGAAAAGAAATCCTTGGCTTTAAGTAGTATGCACACTCTTGTCTGTTTGCCCTTGTCTTAACTTTAGCTATAACTAGAAGAAATATAACACCATTAAAAACAATAACAGAAGTTCTTGGTGCCAATCAATATCTGATCTCTTCCTTATTTGGGGATGTATAGCATGAAGCAGTAAAATAGGCAGACAGATATAAATTCCAAACACTAATCCCAAACCCCAACCTTGTTTTATAGTTAGAAAACTCATTAGTAGAACAATAGAAAATGTAAGTCCTTGGCTTCAGCTGACAACAGCATTCTTTCTGATATAAGCTAATATCTTTTCTCATTTATTTTGTGTAAAAGAGGCTTTTAATTTTATCTATGTGTTAGGATTAGGTTTGGTGCTACAGTATGGATTGGAAATCCAGAACTTCAAATGACCAGTTTACCAGTTTATTCTGGATGCTGCCATGACCTCAAAGATATGGCAAACAGAAAACACCTTTTTAAATGAAAAGTGTTGTAAGACACACATTCCTGAATGCTACAGAGCCTGCAGCACTGAGAAAAAAGCTGGTGATAATGTGGTCAATTTTGTTGTTTGGGTTTTTTTTTCAGTTGGAGTTGGTTTCTCCTGTTGGATTAATGTTAGGGTTTGTTTGGAGTTTAACTTCCAGTTTTAGAAACCAAAGCATCAAGATCCGTATTTCCTTTCACTATCCCCAAGCCCTGCACAATTATAAAGAGGTCTGGTAACTTAAGATATAAATAATCTGAGTCCTTGCTTACTAAATTAATAACATAATGGCTTTGCCACAGCCTGTCAGTTTGGCATTGCTATAGCATGACTTCAAGAGTGTATGTTACATTCTCCTGGGATGTAGTATGAAAATATGAGGGAGTTTCTATGCATACAAGTCTATACATCCAAGAGAACCAAAACTAATGTAAATGTTCTGCTATTTGCTAAAAAATAATGCTATCTCCTGAATTCAATGAAACCAGATACCCTAAGCATTAAAGATGGCCTTGGAAATTCACATTTTATGATTTTATAAAGCAAACTGGGAATATTGTTAAGGTTAGGCTTTAAATTTGTTGCATCTAAACACGTTTCTTTCTTCTTCAGATAAAATGACAATCATAACACACTAAGTTCTGGAGGACTGACATCTGGCTCCTTGGCAGACACCTCAGGCAACTGCAGTAATGACTTTGGAGATGGCTGTGTATCTGTAATAGAGTTTTTTGTCTGGATTGTATTAACCTCTTACTCTCTAAGACATTTTGTCCTATAGCTCATATTGGAATTACTGAACCACTCATAACCCTGACTTACAAGTGTTTTCTTGTGTTTCAATCTGCTACTGTGTGTTGGTTTTGCTGTTTGGGTTTGCCCCCCTCCCAGGAAGCCGTAAGCATACTTTGCAAAAACTTCAAAAGGAAGATTTTGTCAACTGGAATTGTATTTTTAATGCTTGATAAAACTGAAGATTTTAGACAACACTTACTGCTTCTTAAGAAAAGGTGCTATAAAGGAAGTGCATACCTACTGAATGCTTAGAATTGAGAACTGCACCTCAAACTCATTTGTATGAAACAACGATTCTAATTATAAAAGTTAAAAAAGAAAAAATAAATATTTCTTGTAAGATGAGTGTGTATGAAAGTATAAGGGCAAGTGTAGCAGGGAAGGATGCTGAAACTGAAACCATACACTGTTGAGAGTTCAACGAAAACAATATTTATTATGAAGAGGTGACCAACAAAACGAAAACCCGAGAGAGAGGAAGGAGGAGGAAAATTAGCCCTCAGTACAGCTCCCCATCTCACCCAGACATTGCTTATGAAGTTTTTTTACTGACTCCAGAATGCCTAGAATTACCCATAGCAGAAGCTGCATTCTTGGAGTGTCGGCAGGCTCACAAGATAGCGGGCGTCCCCACAAGAGGCAACGTTGTCCTTTGATGTGAAGCTTGTGGTCACTCCCAGCACGAGCTATCTGCTTATTATGCAATTAATTGCTGACATCTACCTGGGTAGGTATGGCCAGCACTGCCCAGATAGAGGCCTTCAGTGCTTCCCCCCATTATGTAAGTGGTATCTCTCCTGAGCATGCGTGGGTACTCTGGAATGTCCCCGCATCTGCATGCTGCACCTCAGGGGGTCTTTCCTAAAAGAGTCTGGGGGCTTACTTCATCCTCCTCCTCTTCACTTTCTTCTACAAATGCCCTTGAAAGGCCATCAGCCAGCAGGAAGGTACCAATTAAATATAGTTTATACAAAATACTCCCTTCAAGGACAAAAGTTCTCGTTTATCAGTACTTGTTTTCCTCTAACTTGGCAGGAAAAGAATAAACTCTTACAGGTGGCTGGACCAACCACAAACCGAAAAATAGCAGCATCTAATTAAGTATGAATACAGCAAGCATAGCACACAGTATTTTTAACTTGGAGCTGAAACATTCTTGAATGTTTTTAGGTCAAAATATTTGCCAAATTAATAGGGAATGAATGGAAAATGTACTGTCTTCACTTTTTTGAGGTATATAGTAAAATCTGTGTGATCTATTAAATGTCAGTTAGAAGATATCTGAAATCCTGTATTTTGAAATAAAATCACTTTTTAACTCTCTTAGGTTTCATTGTAGCTGACTGATCCACGTCATGTATAAAACCTAGAAACACTGACTGGATGCATTTATTTCCTGGAGAAGAATTGTAGATACCTTGGACAGATCTTCTTAGTGTATGAGAATCATCTATATGGCATAAGAGACAACTAATTTCGTATTTACAGCCATTCTGAAATTTAAATTCTTTAACTTTCCTTGCCCATATACAACTAATGTTTCAAATGTAGTCAGCAGGTACAACCCCTAGGCAACAGTACCATCTTCTGTACTGTTTATGAGGTGATTGACCTTCAGAAACCTGAACTTTGTAGAAAGAGGCACAGCACAGCACCTATGCAGACAGATAGCAACAGACACAGTGTGATAACTAAGACACAGGACCACGAAGAGATAGCTAAATGTCTTTCTTTCGATCTAAGAAGCACTATGAAGCTAAAAAGCAATCTGCCCCCAGATTATATCTTCTAGAAATTATATGATAGCACTGTGCTTCAGCCATTTTAATTTATGAACATGAAAATTCTATTTTATCGGGGGAGAAGTGACATATTATACAACTGGTAATGCAGCTTTCTTGTTACCTTAAGACTTACACTCTCTAGGATTTCACCTTCACCAAGAAAATAGCTAGCAGAGATCACAGCACAACAGAATATGCTGAGTTGGAAGGCATCCACAGGGATCATCAAGTCCAGCCCTTAGCCCTGCACAGCACCATCCCCAAGAGTCACACCATTTGCCTCAGAGTATCATTCAAATGGTTCTTGGTCTCTGGCAGGCTTGGTGCTGTCACCATTTCTCTGGGAAGCCTGTTCCAGCACCCAACCACCTTCTGAATGAAGAACCTTTTTCTGATATCTAACCTAAACCTCCCCTGACACAACTCCAGGCCATTCCCTTGGGTCCTGTCACTGGTCACCAAAGAGAAGAGATTAGTGCCTGCATGTCTTCTTCCGCTCATGAGGAAGCTGTAGATTTCAATGAGGTCTCCCCTCAGTCTCCTCTTCTCCAGGCTGAACAGACTAAGTGACCTCAGCCACTCCTGAAGGAGCTTTCCCTCAAGGCCCCTCACCATCTTCACTGCCCTTGTTTGCATCCTTTCCAATGGCTTAATATCTTTCTTATATGGTGATGCCCAAAACTGCACACAATATTCAAGGTGCAGAGCAGGGCAGGACAAACACCTCCCTCAACAGGCTGCCAATGCTTTGCCTGATGTGCCCCAGGACATGGTTGGCCCTCCTGGCTGCCAGGGCACTGCTGACTCATATTCAACTTGCCACTGACCAGGACTCCTGGGTCCCTTTCCTTTGAACTGCTTTCCAGCAACTCATTCCCCAGTCTGCAAACTTGCTTAGTATCCCTTCCAGTCCTGGGTCCAAGTCATTTATGAAGATGTTGAAGAGCACAGGGCCCCAGATGGAGCCCTATGAAACCCCACTAGTGACGGGTCACCAGTCTGATGTCACCCCATTCACAATTCCCCTCTGTCCTCAACCCGTGAGTCAATTGTTCACCCACCACATGGTATGTTTATCCAGGTGTGTGCTGGACAGTTTGTCCGGCAGCATCCTGTGGGAGACAGTATTGAAAGCTCTACTGAAATCCCAAAAGATTACATCAATAGGTTTCCCTTGATCAACTAGGTGGGTTACCTAGTCATAAAAGGAAATCAGGTTTTATAAGCAAGACTTTCCTCTCGTGAAGCTGTGCTGGCTGTGACCAATGATTGTGTTCTTTCTGAGGTGTTTTTCAACATGTCCTAGGATAACCTTCTCCATAACTTTACTAGGCACTGAAATGACACTGACAGGCCTGTGGTTTCTGCGGTCCTCCATCTTGCCCCTCTTGAAAATTGGGCCAGCTTCCAGTCAGAGGGAACCTCTCTGGATTCCCAAGACTGCCCAAAAATCATTGAGAGAGGTTGTGCAATAACATCAGCCAGCTTTTTGAGGATTTTCGGATTAATCCCAACAGGCTGCACAGATTTGTAAGGATCCAGCCAGAGCAGCAGATCCCACACAATTTCAGGGTTGACTGGGAGTTGATCATTATTGCAGTTACAGTCCTCCAGCTCAGGACACTGAGACCCCCTTGGTCCATCATCTATATTGAAGACAGAGGCAAAGAAAGCACATTAAACACCTCTGTCTTCTCTCTGTCCCTGTTTGTGAGGTGACCATCCCTTATCCTGTAATGGGCCGATGATATTTCTGTACTGCCTATTGCTCTTAGCATACTTGAAAAAATTCTTTTTGTTGTCCCCCAGATTTCTGGAAGCTTCAACTCCAGTTGAGTTTTGGCTGCGCAGATTTTCTCCCTACAGCGGCAAGCAGGATGTCTGAATTTTGCCTGTTTAACTTGGCCTTGCTCCCATTGAGTATACATCTTCCTTTTTAGCCTTATTTCCAAGAGAAGATTCCTGTTCAGCCAAGACAACCTTCTACCTCGTCTGTTTGACTTCCAGTATCTAGGAATTGCCTGCTCCTGTGCCCTTAGGAGGTGATGTTTGAAAAGTGACCAGCACTGGTAGACCCCTGCAAAAACATTCCCAGGGGACCTTGTTTACTAATTCTCTCTCCTCATGTCCAGAGCTGAGATTTGCTGGCATTGTTCCTCCTGTCAACAGAGATTTTAGACTCCATAAGGTTGTCATCCAAGATTTTTAGAAATTTTCTGGCCTGGGTTGAGTCAACTGTGTGATGCTCTCTGGTAATTTCTGCCAAGTTGAAGTCCCCCATAAGGACAAGGGCAGTTGATTTGGAAGTGTCCCTTAGTTCCTCAAAGAATAATGATAGTCAGTGCAGTAATTCAGATGTATTAATGAGACAAATATAAAAAATTTAAAGTTCTGACCCTTATCTAGAAAGATTGCATATCTTGTCTGAAACGTATTAAAGTACACAGATGCTACCATGTTTAGTCTGTACTTCAGTTGTGTTGCACATGAATCCTTTTGCCTCCTGTGGAATCATTAAAATAATAAAATAATAAAATAATATCATAAAATATAGGGTTTTTATCCAATCATTAGATATTTACAAGTAATTTTTTAAGTTAGGAGAAACATGGTACAAAATTCAAGATCTTTAATGATGAAAATATTCATTATAATTTCCCAAAGAGTCTCAACAATTTGAAAATATATCCCATAACATAATAAAAATATCTCCAATTTAAATGGCAAAAGTTTTGAGAAAGTTTTTATAACCTTGGAAAATTACTTTCACATTTTTTCAAGTCAAAAAAGCACCATACAGATATTATTGCCAACACAAAATGCCTTCAGCTATGAATTATTCTCTGAAACAGTGGAATCTTCTTTTCAAAAGTTGTCAGTCTCTTGTGTTTTCCTCAACACAAACTTCAACCCTATTAAAAAATCAGTGCTGCTGGTAAAGGTGTAGACAGATGTTTTATCTTCACATTTTGTGCATAAATGCAAGTACTCTGACATAAATTGATCAAACTGTTGAAACAAATCATTTAAGATTTGTGCAGTGATTAATAATAGATGCCAGTAATCAAATCTCCCTGCCACCAGCACATCTGTTACAGAGAGTTTCTGGTTTGCCCTATTATGCAAATGTGCAATAAAACAAATAAATTACTTGTTTTAACAGCTGGTTGAAAAACATTATTTTAGGTGACTTTTTTTAATGTATTGTTTTTACCATTGATAGCCACTTGATGTAGACTAATTCAATTATGCTTTCGTAGAGAGTCAGAATCCAACCTGATATAGACTAATTCAATTATGCTTATGTAGAGTGTCAGAATCCAACTCTACTCAGAAACTGCTGCAGAATTTTAAGGATATTTAGGATTTCTTAGACACACATAGCTTCTGAAAAAACAAAGCGCACAGAAGTAGAGAGTTTTCCTTGAATTCAACACTTCAAAAATGTATTCATGTAACTTGGTTCTTCAATACTAGTCGTGTCACTTACATAACTAGACCTTTCTGGTACCTTGAAAAAATCAGCATTTGAATCTTCACTGGACATCAAAATGAATATCATCTCAAAAAATTGTTTCTAGAAATTGTAGCTAATAGGTTCATGAACTGAGTAGAGGGAAGTTATCAGCACAGAATTACCCTCCATCTAATGTATACTTAGACTATGCACACTGCAGATTTCAGCTTTTAGCACCAGGATCACCGAATCATAGAATTGTATAGATTGGGAAAGACCTCTGAGATCACTGAGTCCAACCATTAACCTAACACTATCAAGTCCATCACTAAACTATGTCTCTAAGTATCACATTTATATGTGTTTTGAACACTTACAGGAATGGTGACTCAACCGCTTCCCTGAACAACCTGTTCCAATGCTTTACAGGTTTTCACTGAAGAAGTTTTTCCTAATATCCACTCTAAACCTCCCCTGGTGCAACTGGAGGACGTTTGGTTCTGTTCTATCTCTTGCTATTTGGAGAACTTCAAATTTTTTAGACGTAAACAACAATAATTTTCTTCCCTTTCTGTCTCAGAGGTGTATGTCAGGTTGTGTGAGACTTGGTTTGTTTATTTTTTTTTGCAATGCCCCAGAGGTATACTGGAAGAACTAAGATCACTTTTACCTCTGTAGAACAGAAGAAAAAAAAAAAAAGAAGTGATGAACTTAGCTCTGAAAATATTTGTTGCCTTTTTTTATGCAACCATACATGTTGCTCTCAAAATTTCATATGCTGAATTACATATTTTATAGAGTACTATAAAACCAGACAAACATTAATTTCAAACAAACATCACCTTTCAGCTCCCTAGGTTGCCAAGTAAACCAGTTGTGTCAGTAAAGTGTATTGCTCTGGAGGGACACATTTTAATATAGTCATCTTAGAGCAGAATATGTTGCTTTATAAACTGCATTCAAAAATAACCAGACATATAGACAAAGATAAGATAGAACTCACCCTGTAAAGGGAGATGAAAGGTAAATATTTCCACTCTTCTCAATAACTACTCTGAAAAGTTGTGAAAAACTTTCATGTCCTTTTATTTTGTATCACAAAGATACAGGTATACAGGAAGCATATAAGAATATGGTACAAAGTCCTTTTTCCATTTTACTGGGACTTGAAGTTCAACTTCTGTAGTACAATATATCTTTCTCTCTTGAAAAGGTGGTTATCAGCACATGTTAATAAACATTTTGATCTAAATGTCAAAGTCAGATTTTGGGTTTTATTTCTTTTTTTTCTTGTATTTCTTGTATTTCTTTATTTCTTCTATTTATTTTTTCTATCTTTTTGTATGTGTAGTAGAAAAGACAACTGATTCAAAAGAGGTCTTTAAAAGAAAGTGTCACAATTAGTATTAAAGAAAAAATGTAGAATATTGACAAGAATTCATTAAGTGAAAAACTGAAAAATACCTGGGCATGTTCCAATTTGAATAGATCTCCTCAGCTGAGAAAGTAGGTTTCAGAAATAACAGGAATGAAATTCCTTTTATTTATTGTTTTGCCCTGATTTTGGTAAGTCAAAAATCTCAGCAATATTCTTTGTACAGTTCTGAATGAAAGTATAGGATATAAAAAAGGGTTAAACATTTTAAAAGTATCCCTAAGTGTGTGTATGTGTTTACATTTTGTATTTTCAACATGATGTGTAAAGCTATACTTCTTTTTATGAAAAGTGTCTGGCAAAGCAAGGAAATAAAATTTCTTCTTGAAAAGCACAGAATTCATCA